CGCCCCCGGGCCGCCGGGCGGGTGGGTAAGCCCGGCGCGGGGAACGGGTTGGAGAGCGCTCCCGGCCAGGACCCGCCGCGCCATCACCGCCCCGCGCCCACCGAGACGAGGCTGGTAGGTGACTTTAGCTGACTGCCTCCCCGGCACCTGGAAGGACCTAGCGCTTCCGCGCCTCCCAGGGTACCTGTCTCTTCTGTGCTTCCTTCTCCTTAGAAGGCAAATGGAATGCGCTCCCGTGCGGGGTGGGGAGTGGGTGGAGGGTGTGCGGGGTGGAGGATAGTGGGGGGAATCTCACAAGATTCTGCCTCAGTGCAGCCTCGAACCCTCCTCCAGGGAGCTAACAGGAGGCAGTGGGGGAGTTGGAAGGCTGAGCCTGCCATGCATTTGTCACAGAGCCCAGAAAAGGCGGCATGGAGCCGCTCAGTGACTTGTTTAAACCAGCATGCTGTTCTTGTTCGGTTCCCCCAGAGCAGAGATTTTTTACTCTGGGCCACCCCCTGTGCCGGAGTAGAACTGCCCCCAGAGGGGTTTCGGGGGCTGTGCTTGCACTGCTAACGTGAAAGGTTACCAGTCGCTGTGCGGGACAAAAATGTGGTAGTCCACTTCTGTCAAGGCGATTGATGTTTTCAGGGGAGGGAGAGGGGCTCTACTATCATAGCGACCCCACAGAAGGAAACACCGCCCTGCCTTGTGACATCCTCATGAGCGTTCTGTTGGAGCCGATTGTTGAGCCACTATGTTGAGCCATCTAGTTGAGGGCCCTTTCCCTGACCCTCTACTTTGCCAAGCAGGGTCTCCTTCTCCAGGGTCTCTCCTGCTAGTACACCCACAGTACCCGAGACAACGTCTGGCCATTCGCACTTCTAAGAAGCCTTGGAGGTGCACTGCTTCCAAGACAGGCTTCTATAGGTTGTTGGTAGGTGCAGTTTCATTAGCTGCAACGGGTGCGGTGCTATGCACAGCTGTCCTGCTCCATCCTCACATTGTCATGTCGGTCCACTGTTGCAGCCCCTACTTGTCCATCCCTGTAGTAGAGGGTCTTCTGCTTTCTTGCTGAGCTCCAGCTTTACCAAGCATGGTGTCCTGGTGACACGTCAAAGCACGTAGAGGAAATCTTGCCATCCTCCGTTCTAAGGCGTATCCTGGCTCTACTTCCGAGACCCATTTGTTTATTCTTCTGAAAAGCAATGTTCTTGCCCAACAACCATAATTCAAATGCATCTGTTCTTCGGTCTTCCTTTTTCATTGGAAGTCCCACCGGGCAATTCTACTCCGCCATCCAGGGTCCCTGTGAGTCAGAACCTAACTGGAGGGGATACAGCAACAGCAATCTTTATGAATTCCGTCTGCCAGGTCTTTTCTCCCACTAACCGAGGCTGGGTGGGCTTGAACACAAAGATTAGTACTGAGTGCCTAACTTGTGTTCCACCAAGACTCCTGATAACTAGCACTGCTGCTGTGTGTCTTCAATCCAGGCAAACACACGGTGGGCCAACAGGACAGAGTAAACTGCCTCATAGGGTTTCCAAGGTGTACCTAGTTGCTGAAACAAGCTGCTTCGTCTTTCTCCCCCCGGTGCAAACCCTATCTTGCAGGTAGCATACAAGAAAGAGCCTCACCACAACCACCACCAGGGATAGCATGGGGGAGCTGAAACTGGCACCGAGGCCAGGGTTTGCTCAGTACATCCCGATTTCTTTCTTGATGGACCTTGATCTGCCATCCATCTGTCAGTCTGTCTG